AGCGGAAGGCGAGGGACAGCGCGAGCGCGCGAAGGCCCAGGGTCCTGCCGCCTCCGGGTCCCGGGGCGCCTCCCTCTGGTGGGAGGGTTTGAGCGTCGGGTCCTAGGAGCTCCCTGTGGGCGTGTCGGGCTTTTTCTGCTCAGTGGCTCTTAGATACCTGCATTGCACAACCAGGTGTGCCCGAAATACAGGTGCATTGTCAAGTGCAGGGCGCTAAAACCGCGGTGCATAGCGAAAGGCCTGTTTTTACTCTCTCTGCTCAGCTGATGCGGAATCAGGCTTAGGAGGAAAGGACTTGCCCAGGTCACAGAACTCAGGCTGTGCCCAAGCAGCCCGGAACCCAGCTGGCTAAACCCCAGGCGGGCCCTTTCATCCGTGGGCGCTTCTCCACGATCTCTGCGTGTGCTCGCTAGTGACTAGGAGGGTGGGGACTGGCCCTTCCAACTGCCTGCGGAAACCCCCTCATTCTTGCTGCTTCTCCCGTCCTCTCCCAAGTTCCTGGGCTCTCCTTCCTCTGAAGGGAGCCTGCCACTTCTCCTTAGGCCTCCTTAGGCCATGATTTATCAGGCTGCCCCACTTAGGATTGCCCTGACTCCTCTCTGCTCTGCATCTGGCCACTGTGGGAAAAGACTCTGGGGCTCCATGTGCTTGTTCTAATCCTTGTTCTTCATCCCTAATAACATGTGACCTTCATAATTGTGCATCACTTCATAATTTCACACTTCATGCTTTCCTCATCTGTGACATGAGGGTCACATTCTCTCCCCCCAGGGGTAGGGTAGATATCTGGGGGTAAACCTGGTAAATGTCACTCTGTGTAACTATCAGCTCCCGCTCCTCTGCCTTGGTTCCCTCTCCATCCTGTATAGCACCTGTGGTCCTGCCAGTCTCCGAGGACTGACACTGATTCCCTCTCTAGAAGTCCGGGCTGTGCTCCCTGCTGCAAGGCTGCTCATCCTCCAGGGCTTGGGCTGTGTAGCAAGTCCAAGCTTCTGAGACCCTCCCACCCCTCATTCCACCTGGGCAGGGCTCCAGACACCCTGTCCCTCCATCTTCTTGACAAATAGGCCAGCGTTTTCAAAAGTGGAAATAGAGCCAATTAGTAAACCTGGGGGGAAAAAAATGGACTTGAGCAATAAAAAGGTAAATTAAAAATATCATCCTGGTGTTACGTGTAATTTTACAATATAAAATTTAATACTTTTTAATAAAAAATTATTATAAATTCCTGGTGATTGTAAGGTGACACTTGGGCTCTGACCTTCTTGGGGGCATCAGGGACAGATTGCCAGAGTGCTTGGTCGTTTTCCCCTTCTTTTTATTGCGGCAACATATACTTAACACAAAACCGACCATTTGAACCATTTTTACGTGTACAGTCAGTTGCATTAAGAATATTCCCATTGTTGGGGTGCCTGGGTGGCTCATTTGGTTAAGCCTCTGCCTTTGGCTCAGGTCATGATCCTGGGGTTCTGGGATCGAGCCCCATAGCAGGCTCCCTGCTCAACAGGGAACCTACTTCTCTCTCTCCCTCTGCCCCTCCTCCCTGCTTGCGTGCTTTCTCTCTCTCTCTCTCTCAAATTAATAAAATCTTTTAAAAAAAGAATATTTCCATGTGGTGCAGCCATCACCACCATCCATCTCCAGAACTATTGCATCTCCCCCAAAGTGAAACTCTGTACCCCTTAAACAGTAACCTCCCATTCCTTCCTTTCCCAAGCCATTGGTAACCACTGTTCCACTTTCTGAATTTGAATTTCTCTCTGAATTTGAATACTTTAATGACTTCACATAAATAGAATAATATAATATTTGTCCGTTTGTGCCTGGCTTACTTCACTTAGCCTAATGTCCTTAAGGTTCATCATGTTGTAGCCTGTGTCAGAACATCCTTTTCAAAGGGGAGTAATAGTTCTTCGTAGGTATGTGTATGCATTCAGTGGACATTCAGGTTGTTTGCACCTTGGCTCTAGGGAATAATGCTGGCACGGACAAAGGGGATACAAGTATCTGTTTGAGTCCCTGCTTTCAGTTCTCTTTGAAGATACACCCAGAAGTATAATTGCTTGCTCAGATCAATCCTATGTTTATTTATTTATTATTATTATTATTTTTTTGCAAACTGTTATACTGTTTTCCATAAGAGCTACATCACTTGACACTCCCGCCAATAGTGCACAAAGGTCCCAAGGTCTCTGCATCTTTGGCAATACCTGTTATTTTCTGCTTCACGTTGAGTTTTGTAATGGCCCCCCTCAGGGGTGGGTTTGACTTCCGATCTGCCTCTGAGAAGGTGAGTAGGAGCTGGATGGCAAGTGTAGGTTGCAGGTGAATTTCAGAGGCAGGGAGGGCCACAGGGAAAGGCCGGAGGTTTGCGGTGCAGGGGGTGACTCAGGGCACCCATATGGCTGAAATGTACAGAGCGTGGGCCAGAGACGGAGGAGATGAAGACTGAAGGCAGTGGGGACAGCACCATCATGGAGGCCTGAACCCCGAGAATCTTGACCTGATTCCGCTGACATAACAGCTGGTCCTCAGCCTGGGTGGGTGGAACATCTTGCAGCCGGGGAGCTCCCAAGCCCAGTGATATCTGCCGTCGGACCCTACACCTGCACTAGACTGACCAGTGCAAGTTACTCTCCCTCTCTGAGCCTTGGTTTCTCCTTCTGTGTAATGGCATGGGAGGGGCTTTCAAGAAGGAATGAGTTGGTTGCTAGGACTAGTGTGTGGCTATGATGGGGAGGCCTTGGGCTGACGTGGGTGGGTGGCTGCCTTGTGGCAGAGCTGACTCACCCCTGCCTGTGCCTGCTCTGGCCTGTCTGGCAGCCAGGATTCCCTGCCCGACAGACCTTGGCCTATATTCCATGGTCACCCCTCCATGAGTCCTGGAGCCAAGGGGCTCAGGCCGGGAGCAAAGCTGCAATGCAGCCTCAGGAAGGTTCTGGCCTCACTGACGACACTTGGACAAATGAGGGGCTGGTCACAGGGCCGCTCCTGTGCACAGGACTTCCTAGTGGACACAACCCCACTTCATGGACACCTCCAGGGAGCTCCTCTGCGACGCAGCAGTCACTGCCCAAGTCACAGACAAGGAACTTGGACTCTGACCAGTGTCACGTACCCAAAGCTGCCAGTTGGAAGGCAGCAAGAGCCAGGATTCAGATGTGACTCTCTTTGAGGATTTCTGCATGACTGGGAAGTTACTCTAGATGAATTCCTTTATTGTGCACTCATTGTTCAACAAATATTTACTGGGCTTTTACTGCGTGCCAGGTACAGTACCAGGAAGGGAGTGAGATACAGTCTCTGCCTCTGGACCTTTTCTAGGGCCCCTTCCAAGGGCTGGGGATGGCCTCTCATTGAGATTCTGCTATGTGCCAGGAGCGTACTCAATCCTGCTCGAAGTCTGGAGGGAAACAGAGATTATTAGCTTCCTTTTACAGGTAAGAAAGTGGGGAATCGGAAAAGGAAATGAATTGCCCACATCTGCTCAGTTGGGAAGGGGTGGAGCCTGTGCTTAGATGACCAAGGGTGTGTGTCCCCAGGCCTGGCACCTCTGACTGCCAGCTCAGTGGTGGGGGTGGGCACTGTGCCAGACATGGCCATGTGCCTGCCTGACCTGGGGCCTGAGAGTCTGGCCCACAGCTATGCCAGGCATCTGGACTTCTAGTTCAGTGCTATACTGGGATGTCAGAAGGGTACTTGGTGGACCCTAAAAGGAGACACACTGTCCCGGGAGCCCAGCTCCACCATGGACTGGATGTAGGACCCCAGGCAAGTCCTGCTTTTCTCTGGTTTCTGCCCTGTCATCATTAAATGGAGTGTGGCTCTGTGCTGTGCCTCAGCCTTAGACCACTGGGAGGATCAAATGTAATCATGAGAGATGATAAGAGATGTAGCATGACCAAGGGGCACTGATCAAGGGATAAAGGAGGAAAAGGAGGAAAGGCAGCTGACCATACCCTGCTGGGAGACTCAATTCCTTCCTTTCCTTTTCTTCTTTCTTTCTTTCTTTTTTTTTTCCCTTTGTTTGTTTGTTTATTTATTTGAGAAAGAGAGAGAGCAAGAGAGGTGGGAAGGTCAGATGGAGAAGCAGGTTCCCCACTGAGTAGGGAGCACGATGTGGGACTCCATCCTGGATCTCCAGGATCATGACCTGAGCTGAAGGCAGCCGCTTAACTGACTGAGCCACCCTGGCGCCCCTCAACTCCTTTCTTTACTAGCACTTCATACACACCCTTAATGATGAATTTGGAATTCTCCTCCAGGAAGCCTTCCCTGACCTACTACCTACGGGCTGGGTCTGAGGACTCTTTCTCTCATAGGCCTGGCCACACTGTGTGGTTACTGGTTCCCCCAATAGATTCTCAGGGCCAGGATCAGGCATCTTACACAGCGTCTGCCCAGGGTGGGTGTCTGGGGGTCTGTGGGAGACAGATGAGCCCAGCCTCCATCCCTGCAAGCCTTCCCTCCCTCTCTGCAGCCCTCCATACTCTGGCTCTCCTTGTTGGTTCCCACTTTCTCCTCCTTCCCTCTCCGAAGTGGAGAAGGAATGGGGATACCCTCTTGGCCCAAGCCGAGCCCTCTCTGCGGCTCCCAGCGCCCCCATGAGCGTCCGTTAACAGTACGAGGCATTTCGGAGCCTCGCTCTAATAGGCTCCGTGGCCTGCCGGGATAAAGCAAGACATCGAAAAGGGTTCCTCCACAAATGACTCTAAATCCTGACCAAATGGCATCCATATGAACCACCAGGAAAGCCATTAAAGCTGCAGGGCTCAGAGAAGGATCTCAGGCAAGGTGGCGCGGAAAATGTGCAGAGAGGAAGCAGAACGGCAGGGGGCGCCTGTGGGCACAGACGCGCACAGAATCTCCGGCGAATCACAGGTCACAAGGCGGGGTTGCCGCGGCAGCAGTGGCCGCTGGCCCCAGCCCCAAGAGTTACCTCGGCGGGAGTCCCAGTTGAAGACCTCGACTGGCGGGGGAGAGGGGGGACCCGGGCCATGGGCACCAAATGGTTTAGCGGGGCACCCTTCGGGGTGCAGAGCCACAGGTGGGGGCTCCCCCCCGGAGGCGCGGCTGGAATCTGGGGGAGGAGGGAGAGACGGGAGGGGGCCTGGCAGTGAGGAACGGGGGCCGGTCTTTCCAGGTCACACCGGCTGCCCTTCTGGGCCCGGGGCTCATTCACCATCCTTAAGTGCTTTGAAAGCGTTTGGAGAGCACCTCCTGTGGGTCCCGCGCAGAGAGGCCTGCAGCCAGCGCGGGGGTGTGTGTGCGGGGGGTGCTGTCACTCCGCCCAAGAGAGGTGGGCAGGGTTTCAGCGCAGAGATTCCCCCCACCCGCCACATTTACGCTATCTACTCTGTGCGGGGCACAGCTTTAGCACCTGCGAACATAACAGTGAGCATATGGCAAAACCCGTACTCCGGGGTTGGCAGTTCTCGTCGGGAGGGGTGGTTGGAGTAGATAATAACCAAAAGGAAAAAGATATAAAATGTTGGGTAGTGATAGGGCTAAGGAGAGGAAGCAAGCTGGGAGGAGAAGCTGGGAGGTGCTGGCAGGTGGTGGTTGGAAGGAGAAGATGACTTTTGAGTAAAGGCCCCCCAGCAGAGGGGAGGGGACCAGGCAAGGGTAGTGTCCAGGGGAAGAGAGGCAGGAAGGACAGAGACCCTGGGGTCCCAGCAGCCAGGTCCTCTGGGAAGCCAACACGGCCAACCCCAAGAACTGTCCACACGGGGTCTGGGGGCCAGGCCTTGGGATCTCACTGGGCCTCTGTCCCTCCCTAGGTTTGATGTCTCTGCAGTTTACCCCAGCCACAAGAAATTCAGCACCTTCACGGAGGCCCCGTACTCCAGGCTTCATTCTTTGGACCTGGTAAATTTGTGTAGCTTCCCTGCAGCCCTACCTCTCCCCCATGCCCCCCTCCAGTGCCTTGCCATTGGGGAAGAGCTGAGTTGTGTCACTGTTGTGCCTTAACACCTCTCCAAGCCCCTAGTTGGGAGCATAGAGCGTGGCTCAGAGTCGGGGCCTTAGATGTGCTGATAAGCGCAGGACTGGGGTGAGGACCGCGTGGGTTGGGACCACAGAGCCCCGGGGGGCATTTCCTCTTTGGTAAGAACTGGCTGTAGGCTATACCAATGATACTACCCTTCCCCGCTATAGGGGAGTATACGGGGATCAACGACAGAGGGTGTTGTGATGGTCCCGTGAGAGCCATGCCTCTCAGTGCTGGGTTGGGGACTAGGGGTAGGGGCTGCAGTGGGCTCAGCCTGTCCACCCCCAGCTCAGGGTGGCCTCTGGGGGGAGGAAGTTGCTCTGTGGACAGATTCTGTGGATGTGACTGTGCTCTGACTCAGTCCCACATAGGACCTGGGACCTACAGCTCCAAGGACACCTGCTTTAGTAAGAAGAAGCTCAGAAAGGAGGTGGGCACAGGCTGGGCCCGTGCCCAGGAAGCTGACCGGCTGACCCAGCTGCCCCACTTCCAGTACCAGACCATCATGAAAGAGAAGCAGCTGCAGGTGAGTCCTCCCTTGGGGAATGCCACCACCCTCCAGAGTCCTTCCTGGGAGGACCTTCCCAAGCAGAAGGTTGTCACCCTCTGCTTTCTTCTCTTGGGGCAGAAGGAGAAGCTGGGGCCCGGCTCCTACAACCTCAAAGACTTCCTGGAAGAGCTGAAGGAGAAGCCCTGCAGCACCCGGGGGCTGCTCAGCTCTGGGGAGGTTCGCTTCCGAGGACTCATTGGGGTAGGTGTCCTCAGGTACTGGGGAGGGTCCCCCCCCCCACCATGCTCCCCTCCATCTGCAGAGCACGCAGCCTGGCTGGTGCTGGACACACCCCTCCTCGTGCCATGTCCTCCCCAGGCTCGGCCAAGCTCTCCTCTGGGTCTCCCAAACCCCCCTGCCTCCTGCTTTCCAGTATCACAACCTCGAGTCCAAGGGCCGTCACATATCCCTGTGCCTGTCCCTCACTGGCCCAGGAGCTTCTAGCCGGCAGGACGGGTCTGGTTCATCCCTGAGTCCCAAGCACAGAGTCCAAACATCTTTATTTTAGGTGCTCGACAAACTCATCCACCTATATGTCCATCTGTCTAACCAGCAAATAATGGCTGAGCACCTACTAATTGCCACGCACTGTTCTCGGGCTTGGGGACTGAGCAGTGAGAACTGGGGCCCTAGTGGAAGGCACAGCGGTACAGAGAAGCAAATCCTGTACGATCAGGACCGTGAGGAAAAATGAGACCAGGAAGGGATACAGAGTGAGGGAGGTGCAATTTATAGGGTGGTCAGAGAAGACCTCTGGGAGGAGGTGACCTTTGAGCAAAACCTGCAGGACATGAGCGCTGGAGATTCACGGTAGCTGCAGGAGAGCGTTCGAGGCAGCGGGAACAGCAGGTGTAGACAGGGAGTTGAACCAGCGGGCAGGAGGCCAGTGCGGCTGGAAGGAGGGACAAGAGTGGAAGGAGGAGAGACAGCAGAGGAGTGAGGGCCAGAGCGCAGGACCTTGCAGCAAGGCAGGGCTTGGGGATTGATTCTGAGCGCTGTGGCAAGACTGTGGAGGGTTTGGACAAGGGAAGGGCCTCATTTACATTTTCAGAGGAGCACCCTCCTCCTGGGGGTGGGGCTCGGAGGCATCCAGGTGGGGGAGGTGATAGTGGTAAGGGGTGGAGTGGCATCCGTGTGGGTGGGGGCGATCATCCCATATGGGGAGAACAGAGTGGGGTTCAAGCTCAGGACGGGCAGGAGGGAGAAGGCAGAAGTCACACCCTCCCAGAGCAGAGCTCGCTCTGAGGTTTACTAAGTGCCCTCCCCCACGGCCCTGGTGCTCTCCGCACTGGATGCTCTTGGTCTCCTTCCAGCTCCTCAAATGGGCCAAGCTCTTTCAACTGGGGCTTTCCTCCTGCCATTCCCTCCACCAGAAGTGTTCTTCCTCTCCCTCTCCCTTGGTCAACCTCGTCTTCTGCCCCCCAGTCAACCCTCAGCTGTCAGCTCCAAGGTGACTTCCTCCAGGAAGCCTCCCTGACCCCCACTAGATGCTCCCTTTCCTAGGAGTCCTGCTCATGGTTGTGTCTAGTGTTTCTGCTCCCCTGGACATCAGCCCCCGAGGGTGGATGACATCTGCCTGGTCGGCTCACTGTGGGACTCCCAGGTCTTAGCTGTGCCTAGCACTCAGTGGGGCACATCGTAGGTATTTGTAGACTGAATAAGTGCATGCCTGTCTGCTAAGTACGAGGTGTCCCAAAACATTCTTGGTGTTTGCAAACCTTCCAGGTGAGGCTCGGGCTTTGCCTGGGTGAAGCCTGGAAACTACAGCTCCTTGTATCTTAGGCACAGCAGACGCTGTTCACGGCAGCCTGGGGAGAGGGGCTGCCCTGAGGCATTTCAAACTGAGTCATTACCTTCAAGTCTAAAGTAGTAACAATTGACGAATTATGCCACGTGCCAGGTGCTGTCCTAAGCACCTGAGTGTACCAATTAGTCTAATCCTCACAACACCCCTGTGAGGTCGGCCCTGTCATTCTCCCCGGTTTACAGATGAGAAAAAGAGCCCAGAGAGCTTAAGTAACCGCCCAAGGTCACAGAGCTGTGAGTGGTACAAGCAGGATTTGGATCCAAGGGCGACTGCACATAAGCAGTGTACTTGACACCTCGGTGGGCTTACTGGGATTTTGTTCCTTGGTGGCCCCTGGATGACAGTCTTGGCCAGAACCCTGCCCAGATGGTGACAGAGAAACAAGCCTGATGCTTCCTACCTGTGTCTCCAGCCCCCGGCCCCGGGGCATCTGTGAGTGTTGGCTGAGTAAGGGTGAAATGTCTCACTGCCCGGCCCTCGCGTCCGGCTGGTTCTTCTGCTACTTTGTCACCCTATCTGCTCCTGCAGTAACCTCCCCCAGGCCCTGCAGGATTTCTCTGAGCCACTCTCCTGGGCTCAGGGCTGGACAGCAAGCTCAAGGGGGTGGCCCTGCCCTGGTGGGTGCAGAAGGCAATCCCTCGGGAAGCTCATGTCCAAGGCCCATTTTCTGTCTTCTTGCTGTGAGACCTGGGCTGGGAGCCTGGTGGCCTCCTCTGGGTTACAGCTGCCCCCTGTCCAGAATGCTGACCCCTCCATGGGTCCAGCTAAAAAAAAAAAAAAAGCAAAAAAAAAAAAAAAAAGCTGTGCCAATTCTTACATTCCCACACACCACCCCCAGAATTAATCACTCCTGCCTGGGTCCCCAAAGTGCTGACAGCCAAATATTCCAGTCAAAATCGTGGACTTTCAGGGTGCCTGAGTGGCCCAGCTGGTTAAGCATCTGCCTTCGGCTCAGGTCATGATCCTAGGGTGTTGGGACGAACCCCACATCGGGCTCCCTGCTCAGTGGGGAGCCTACTTCTCCCTCTGCGTCTCCCCCTGCTTGTGTTCTTTCTTTCTCTCTCTGTCAAATAAATAAATGAAATCTTAAAAAAAAAAAAAGAAAATTATGAACTTTCACATCAGCCCAGGTGTGTTACTCCATCTTGAAACCTGAAGGGTTGAAGGAAGAGATGAGCCCAGGGCTCTGGGCTGGGTGCTGTCCATGGACTCCAAGCGCAGCGGTCACTCTCTGTTGTAACTGATGCTGCTGCTTCTTCTTTTTTCAGATCTTATTTATTCATCTGAGAGAGAGAGAGGGAGAGAGAGCACACAAGCAGGGAGGAGGGGTATAAGCAGAGGGAGAAGCAGACTTCCCATCCAACAACGCAGGACTAAATCCCTGGAATCGTGACCTGAGACAAAGGCAGACGACTGAGTCACCCAGGCATTCCTATTGTAACAGGCACTTCTAAGGTCACCTCGAAGGTGCCCCCAGGGTCATGGCCCTCCCATCCCTGGGGCTTACACAGGGCCTTGGGAATCCGCTCCGGAAGAGGGTGGATTTTGCAGCTGGAAACTTAGCCACTGCTCCTTTCTGGAGGTAGGACCTTGGACTTGAGGTCTGACTCTCTGAACTGTTTCTCCATCTGTTAATTGTGGATGGTGCTCATTTGCTCTCATTGGGTCACCTCCAGGACCAACGTGCTGAGGCTTCTGAGGCACCTCACACACCATGCAAGGACCCAGCTTCCTCCCTGGGGGCTCCTGAGCACACCTGCAAACCCCGGGCCCTGGAAGGAGGCAACGCATCATCCTGTCCTCTGAGAGCAAACAGATCCCCAGCAGGGTTCCCTGCCTCGTCCATCCTGTCCTGCTTCCCCAGACTGGTTCCAGGGGGCAGTGGGCAGGGCTGAGCCATCTGTGGGGCGGCAGCGACCTCGTGTGGCTGAGAGAAGCCGCGCAGCAGCAAACGTTCCAGGTCTCTCTCCAAGGACCACCTCCCCTCACCAACCCTCCCACCCACCTGCGCTGCAGGGAGCCTCCCCTCACCCCACCTACAGAAACCATACTTCCTATCCTGGCAGTGGAAGCTCCAAATACTCACTCCAGCTGCAATTCTCCGTCTCTCCTTCCCCCTCAAACTCTCCTCCTGACCCCCAAGACAGGCATCCCACCCTGACTTAGGTTTTGGTACCCAGTATGGGCTGAGCACTGTGTAGGAGATTTTATAGACATTATTTAAAATTTCCTCCTCATTGTCGTGGAAGAAAAACATTACTATCTCCATGTTACAATGGTGGACCCTGAAGCTTAGGACGAAGGGGTATGTCCAAGGTCGCTGAGTTGTGGAGCAGCAGAACCAGGATTCAAACTCAGGACCCCAGATCCTTCCAGGTCACAGCATCATTCATAGCACAGTGAGAACCCCATTCATGCAAATGCAGGGCTATAAAATGGGTGTAACAGATGGCATTTCTAAGACCACCGAAGCCGGCGACTGTCTGGGGTGATAGGGAAGGAAGGCTTCATTCCCAGGAGAGATGACATTTGAGCTGGGTTTGCAGAATTAGACTTTTCTTAAGATTTATTTATCTGAGAGAGGGAGAGAGAGCGGGCGCACACGCCTGTGAGCAGGATGGGGGGCGTAGAGGGAGTGGGAGAGGGGAAGCAGACTCCCCGCTGAGGGAGGAGCCCTACCCTGGGGCATTTTGGGGGGTGGTATCAGCACAAGCGAACACAGGCAAGGAGGCTGGCAGAATGGTATTTGGCGAGCCGCAAGGAGCCCAGCTGGCAGGAGTGTGTGATGGAGGAAGGCAGCGGCATGAAACGAGTTGGCCAGGCCAGTGGGGCCCCCGGGAAGAGCCTGAACTTGGGACTGAAGGTTCGAGCAGTGGTGGAACTGTGTTGAGACCGAGCATGCCGTGTGTTGGGGTGTGGTTAACACACAGAGGCCCCGAACATCCCGTTCCCCTCCCAGGGGCTTCTCTTCCTCAGACATACTCTGCATTAGCAGAGGGACTGATGACCTTTCTGTCCCTCCCCCCCTCCCTGACAGAACTACTATCCAGGCCCCGGAAATTATGGGGTGAAGGGTAACCCATACACAAAGCTGGAGGAGAAGTCCTGCAGCCGCTCTCACTCTGCGGCCCCCACATGCCGGACAGCCCACAGGACACCCCCCATGGCTCACCAGGTACCTCCCCCCAACCTGGCCGGGCCTGGCCTGCCTTTCTGCACAGTCCTGGACCAGTGGGGGCACGGAGAGGGGCAGATGGGGAAACTGAGCCCCCGTGGAGGAGGGGGCGGGAAGGGCCTGCTTCGGTGGTTCTCCTGGGGGACTGCCGTCTGCGCTCTGTTCTAGGGGAGTGGTCTGGCACCCTGCACCTACTCTTTCAAAAGTGGCATTGAGGCATACCTGGCAAAATCCATGGGCACCCGCGGTTTCTACGACACGTTCTCTGGCAACCGCAGCAAGCCGCAGCCTTACGGGCATTTCTCGGTGCAGGTGTGTACCCAGGTAAGGCGTGGAGCAGGTGTTCCCCGCCGGCGTGGCCAGCCTCACTCCCCGCACTGGGAGCACCACCAGCCTGTGTGCTCCCCACCCTCGTGGCCCCCGTGCGACGGGGCACCCCGTGTTGGGTGAGGAAGTGGGGTGTCCGCGCCTCTCGGAAGGAGAAGAGCTAGGGTCTGAATGCCAGCACATCTGTCTGGCTTACCCGCACGGACCGCAGAGGAGGCACAGAGGGTCAGGGCTGGATGCCACGGGCCCCCGACGGCACAGGTGTGGGTGCCTGGCTACTTCGGAAGCCCTTTCCAGGTGTCACAGGCCCAGCTCCCAGCAGTGCTTTTAATGAGCCAGAGACCTGGAGGGCCGGGAGGGCCAGGAAACCGAGGTCGGATTTTAACTCGCAGCCCACCTTTCCCGCCCCCATCACGCTCGTCGTGTGATCCTTGGCATGGCGTTTTGCTTTCTTCCCATTCGTGGCGACTGGAGTTCAGTCTCTGTCCCACGGCCCGCTCATTTTATCTCCACTCGCTGTGCGAGTTTGGGGGCAGGTCAGAGTCATGGGCATGACCACCACTATGGTACTTCTAGCAGAAAAGGACACACAATCATGAGTAAACACCACACAGAGTGTCGGCAGGTGGTGACAAGGGGTTGCTGGTGGTGAAACATTGACACGCTTCAGACCGGTGGGCGACTTGCCACGGAATAAGCCCTCCCACCCGGCTCCTCGCCAGGGCCTCCCACATGCCCCCACGACCAGCTACCGACGTGGTCCCCTCCAGCACAGCAGGGGCCGTGGGAGAGAATATTTTTTATTATCTAAAGAATAATAAACTTTTATTTTTGGAGCATTTTTAGGTGCACAGCCTACTTGAGCAGCAAACCCAGAATTCCTATACCTCCTTGGTGTCCCCTCCCTGCCTGGCCTCCCATACTGGCCACATCCCGCTCCAGGGTGACTGATGTGGTACAATATACTGACATTATTATCACCTGAAGCCCATAGTCTTCAGTCTGAGGATTGTGTCTTCTACAGGTTTGGAGAAAAGTGTCCATCATGGTAGTGTCCTACAGAGTAGATCACAGCCCGAAAAACCTGCTGTGTTACCCCATCACACTGGTTTTTAGATGTTTGGGCCACTGCTCCTGCTGAGAATAGGATGCTGGCCATAATGCCATTGAAATGAGCACAAAAGTGAAGAAATGTGTAAACAGATGCTGGTTACATTGTCCGGGGACACAGACATGGAGGCTGTGAGACTCACTTGGCCCCTGGCCAGGGCTGCATCTCTGCCCTCCTCGTCCCCCCCCCCCCCGGCTGCTTGGGGACATGGGGAGGCAGGATGGACAGCGATGCCTCCTTGTGTGGCCACTTGTTTTTCTCTGCTGCTGAAGGTCCAGAGAGAGGGCTCGGGTTTTCCTGGCCTAACAGACACCTTTTTTTTTTTTTTTCCTGTTTCTCAGAAAAGAAAGCCCAGGGAACTGATGAATTTTACGAGCTTCGTGGAAGAACTTAACTCACCTCACAATAAGAAGCGTGGGGTTTTTTCGAAAATTTCTCGCAACCCGGAAACCCCTACAGAAAGGATTTACTGGGCCACCCTTAGCCAGTGTCCCCGAAAACTAGTCAGTGTCTCCGACCTCCCAAAACCTTACTTCCTTTTTCTCTTGGGAGGGGCTCTCCTGCGGGGCCAGCATGGGATGGGGCTGGCTATTTCAGGGGAAAAGTTAGCCTTGGGTATCAGACCCACGTGGTTTCCAGTCCTGGTCTTGATTGTCTTGTCACTCTGAGTACGTCCCTCCCACTCTCTGAGGCTCAGTTTACTCGCTTGTCCTCTGAGCATACCCAGGTGGGTTGAGAGAGGTGAAGGCCTGGAGCTGGCAGCGTCGGGCTTGGAACCCCCCAAGTGCCCCTGGGAAGAAGCTGAGGGAACATGGGGCAGGGCAGAGTGTGAATAAGGGGGTCTACCCTGACAGGGGACTGCCCACCTGCTCCCTCCAAGGGAATGGGGCACTCCTCTCTGGGGGTGGGGTGGCCGGTGACCTGGATAGGCCTCCCAGGCAGGACCTGCCCTCCAGGGAGAACTGCTCAGGGCTTGGGAAGGAGTAGGGCCCGGAGGAATGGAAAAGGGTGCCACCATTTCCTGAATGCCTGCTCTGGGCCAGGCATCTTCCAGCACCCCAAAGTAGGAGTCAGCATTTGCATTTTACAAAAGGAAACTGAGGCCCCAGAGATAGGGAGGGATTTGCCCAGGCTCCCCCAGCAAGTATGAGAAGAAACCAGCTCCTCTAGTTCCAAACTCTTTGTGGCTTTCACTTTCCAGGTTGGAAACACCTCTGTGGCCCTCCCAGGCCTGTGGGCCTTTGGGAACCCTGAAAGAGGGGTCAGGTTGATGGGTGGGGTTAGAGTGGGTGGCATGAGTTATGAGGGCTCCACAGGGCTCCTGTGGACATCCTCCACAGGGCATCCTCACAGAGGATGAGTGAGTTGGAAGGTGGTTGGGTAAACCCCTCCCGCCCCTGTTTTTGGCTCAAGGCCCAGGGCTGCCAGGTCAGCACGAGGTCAGCCGCCCAGAGCCCTCACTTGCCACGGCCCCAGGCTGACACCGCCAGACCCCTCCAGCTTTCCGCTCCCATTCCTTACCCCTAGGCCACGTCTGGTCCCGGTTCATGGCTTCCTCCAAAGACAGAATGTAAACGCGTCAACCAGCCACCGTTCCTGTTCTCTTCCAAGCGGATGGGCATAAAGGCCTGCCAGATGGTTTTGGGAAGCTGGGTGAGTGGGTCTGGAGTGGGAGTTACATGGTGATGAGCAGGGAACTCCCTCCTGTCTCTATAGGCAGCCCCAAGCCCTCCTTGCCCTTAGAAACAGAGGCTCTATGTGAGCCCAAACCCACTTCTTTCTCCCGAAGGGATGAACACCGATTCCCATTGTCTTATTTCTCTAAGGCAATGGTTTCCAGACTTGAGTAGGTATTAGCATGCCCTTGGAGGGCTTGTTAGAACACAGATTGCTGGGTGTCCCGCCAGAGAGTCTAACTTGGTAGCCTGTAGTAGAGCCTGGGTGTCTGCATTTCTTTCTTTTTTTTTTTTTTTAAAGATTTTATTTATTTGTCAGAGAGAGTGAGCACAGGCAGACAGAGTGGCAGGCAGAGGCAGAGGGAGAAGCAGGCTCCCTGCCGAGCAAGGAGCCCGATATGGGACTCGATCCCAGGAAGCTGGGATCACTACCTGAGCTGAAGGCAGCTGCTCAACCAAGTGAGCCACCCAGGTGTCCCTGGGTGTCTGCATTTCTAACACGTTCCCAGGTGATGCTGGTGATGCTGCTGCTGCCGCTGCTCCAGGGATCACACTTTGAGAACCGTTGCCCTAAGGGACGTCACCCCAGAGCCATCCCCTTCTCTGATTTTCTTAGGGAACTGCTCCCTCCATTCTCTTTGTATTTGTCTCGGGGCCTCTGGGGCAGTTAGCCCCCTTCTCATCCTTGGTGAAGCAAGGTCCCCTTCGGTCGCCGACCCGCTCCCCAGAGGCAGCCATCCCCACGTGTGCAATGTAAACTTTCGTTAGTGTTCTTGTAAAACAGCTAAGCTCTCGGGTTGCGTGTGCGTGTCGTCTTCATTTATACAAATGGCACTGGGCATCGAGCTCATTCTGTTTCTTACTCCCGCCCTTCAGTCTTTAAGGGCACCTTTAATTGGGTTCTAATAGTCACACAGAGAGGGCGTGAATCCTAAGTGAACGGCTCCATGAACGGCCACAGAACGGACTCACCTGTCTCTTTCCATGATGCTTCCACCACCTCCCCTCGCACCCCTACACCCGCCTTCCCATGATGCTCCCACTGCCTCCCCTTACACCCCGACTCCGGAGTGCTGGCTTGGCCGCGACTGTGCCCACACCCTGTCGCCCTGCCTGATTCTCAGGAGGACCCGCTAGTCAGCTCTCTGCAAACTTCTGTTTTCTCACCCCAAGCTGGCACCTCCTGCAGAGGAGAGGGTCTTTGCTTGGGGACCCCAGAAAAGGTATTTAGATAAGAGCCAGATGCTGCTATCGTGGGGCTGGCCACTCCAGAGTGGGAGGGGTGAGGTGAGATCCACTATCTGGGGCGGGAGGCACACCACCGGGACCTTGCTGCCAACCAGACTGTCCTGTCCCCTGTGGGCAGCACCTCAGACCCTGTCTGGCTCCTGTCATCTCCCAGGCCACTGTTGGCACAGTAGCTCCGCAGGTGCTGGGGTTCCTGGCCCACCATTGTCCTGCCCTTCCTGGTGACTCTGGGCAGGTGGCTTCTCTCTGAAAGTCTCTGTTGGTGCCTCTTGATTATATCAGCGACTGTTCCCAAGTGAGGTCACATGCTGAGATACGAGGGGTTAGGACTTCTGCACATCTCTTTGGAAGACACAGTTCAAGCCCTAACAGGTGGAATAGGGAGCAGTGTGGTGGTGGGGGGGAGGGGCTGAGTTCAAGTCTCCAGGCCAGGCCTTGGGCTTGCTAATGTCCTGCCGTCCTCTCCCTCTGTGCAGAACCCTGTAGGTGTGGGTCGCTACCTCAACACCTGGCTGGCAGAGACCAAGGACCATCGACAGCGATATCGGTCCCTATTCCTGGGTGGATCCAAGCGCTACCCCTCAGACCCGGCCAGGGACAGGCTCATGCAGTGAGTGCTCCTGGAGCTCTGGCAGTGGGGCAAGGGCTTACTCTGGGGCGGGCTGGGGTTCCCCTCTTTTCCCCCTGCCACCAGCGTGTGCTCGCTTCCCATGGGAACACAGCTCTACGGCCCCTGGGGCCAGCCCGACAGCGAGGCAGTGGAGAGGTTTCAGACTGCCACCTGTGCTGCCTACTGGCTGTGTGAGGTGGGGCGCATCCATTAACCTCTCTGAGCCTCCTTTCCTTCAGCTGTGGTGAGCAGAGGACTGTGGGGCCCCCCAAACGAGAGGCTCTGTCTAGAGCTCCTGCTGAGGAAAAGGGGCTCAGTGCTAACTCCTCCACCCACAACCCCCACCGTCTCAGTGTGGCCTTGGCTGGCCTCTCCATGCAGAATCTCAGTTTCTTGGTGTTCGTGATGGGGTTGCTAAAACTGGTTTCAGGGAGCTGTTGTGAAGCCTAAGGAGAAAAGGTGCCTGAGATGCCACGGCTAAGTACAAAGCAGCTTGTAAATGCGAGCTGCTGCCATTTTTTTTTGACCCAAGAGGCCATCAGGTTCAATGTAATCTCCACTTCAGAATGGTCAAGTGTGAATAAACATGCACTCTAGATCATTCTGCTGTTGGAAAATCTGTGAGGGCATGAGGACCGGATTGCTTGGGGAAAGCCCAGCTTTTAACTGCTTATTTTTAGCAATAGGGCTGTTGTGTCTTTGTTCTTGACTTGTGCCCTTGTTTTGAGGTGGGGGGGGGCTTTTTAAGAAAAAAATTTTTCCTACCTGCACAACTGATTAACAGTTTGCTTGGAAACAAGATGTTAGGTTGGAAATATTTTTCCTCCAGAATTCTGAAGACTTTGTTCCATTGCCTTTGAGAATTCAAGCGTGGTGAAAATTCCTTAGCCATTCTGGTTTTCGGTCCTTTGAATGCGTCTTCCTCTCTAGAAGCTTTTAGGATCTTCTCTTTGTCCTTTGTGTGCTGAAATTTAATCTTAAATAATCCTAGTGTGAGGCTGTTTTAACCTACAGTTGTGGGTACTTAGTGGGTTCCTTCCATCTGGAACAATTTTCTGGGAAAATCACTTGCATTTGTGTCTTTGGTGATTTCCTCCCCTCTGCTTTGTCTCCCTTCTTTTAGATGAAGGTTAATTATCCTGGTTTGATGTTTTAGCTTTCTTATCTTGGTTTTTTTTTTTTCCCCCTTATTTCCCATCTCTGCCTTTTCTATCCTACTCTTTGGTCAATTTCCCTTGTCCTTATCTTTGAACTCTGCTATTACCTTTTGAAATTTTGGCTTCATCTTTTATAGTTTGCAAGAGCTCTTGAATGTTGTGGATTGCTTTCTTTTCTTTTTTCTTTTCCTAGCCCCCAGAGCATTGTCTTACATGCCATATGTTCTTTTATCTGAAGATAACGATGATAATTTCCCTTCAGTTTACTTTTGTCCCCCACAGGGCCTGTGGTTCTTCCAAGTTCCTTATTTCTTTGACCTGTGTTGTTCATGTTTAAGAGGAAAGCACTAACCAGGGCTGTGAGTCTGGTGGGGCTTGTGGGTTGGTGGCTTCAACGGGAGCGAGTAGATAATGGGGGTCTGATCCTTCTTTTGGAAGACCCTCCATGTCAGTGTTTCTAGGTGCTTTCTGTGGGACAGTTCAGCTTCTCTAGAAAAGGATCCTACATCCTGGGGTGGGTAAATGTGGTTGCTGGTATTTAAGGGAGGAGGCAGGGGGATCTGAAGCAGGGTATGGATTTCTACCTACTTCCTCTATTCTGATGACAGTACCTATCTGCCTAGCTTCCACTGTGCCCAGCCTCCCCCTCTGGAGTCACTATGCATACTAAACCTCCAGTCTTCTACTGGGTGGGCGAGGAATGGTGTGTGTGTGTCTAACTTTCCCTCTGTTTTCAGCCATTGGTCTTGCGTCTCCTTTTTGGTGCCTCCGATTCCTGGGTCTCTCTGGGGTTTGTGGTAGGAACTGGCAGGTTTCTCACCGGCTCCCCCTCTTGTAAGCAGCTTGTTCCATTTTCCAAAAAAACATGTCACACTCCTGGTCCCCTGCTATTGGCCTCTCCTTTTCTCATTTGTCTATCTTTAAAACACTCCTTTCTAGTCCTTTCAGGAGACTGAAGAAGGAGCAGAGAGAGTAGAGATAAATGCATGTATTCATCTGCCTTGTTTAATTGAAAATCAAATGGAACACTGTGAGTGTGCAAAAGCACTTTCTTCCTCTTTCTAGCCCAGGTGGTTGGGTCTATTTTATGGGTGTTCAACCAGGACCAGAGAGGGAAACATCTTGCCCAAGGTCACACAGTTGGTGAACTATAGAGTGGGGACTCGTATCTCGTCTTTCTTTCCAGGGCAGGGCCCTTCCCATCATACATGCCCACGTGAGGATTTGGGGGTTCATGCAGGGCCCCTCCTCCCTGGCCACCCTGTCAGTGAAGCTCCATTCTATATACTATTTGTTCAGCAAAGGCCTGCAGGGAAGCAAAAGAGGCCTCATCCCCATTAGACCCTCAGCTTTCTCCCTTGAACATCTGCCTTCCCCATGGGTCTGAACTTCCCTTTCACCACTGTGATCACATCCAGGACTCAATCTTGTGAGGTTATAGGACTTCCTTTGTAACCTGGTTTAGAATTCTGTTGCTGCTTAGCTGTGTGACCTAGGACACGTTACGTGGAGACAGACTTTGCTCTGAAAAATGAGAGTGAATGAAACAACCCACTTCATAGTGTCTGCTTTGAGGACAGAAGGAGATGATACTTGAAAAGGTGTTCTGCCTGGGGATTCTGGTTGGCAGGTGTGTGGCAAGTCCTAGCTTCCTTGTCCCTTAGCAGCTGCTATGACTGGGCAGAATTCTATGTTTTAGTTATATAAGGGCTGAGTTCTTTAGAGAGCCTTAGAGCGCACATCAACCAGGAAAAGAAATGACAGCAATTTAACTCACCCTCTGCTGTCAAAGAAGGAAAAGTATTAAGAAGGAAATTTGACAGGGACGGGGGAGATATGGGAGGGCACTTGGGTCCTGAGGGAAGTTGGGAGCTTTTAAAGATGAGGCCAAACTACTAAATATGATAGTAAAATGCTAAAGGCTTCTCATGAAGTCAAGAACAGAACAGGGATGCTTGTGTCACCAACATTATTCAACACTGGTGTGGAGGTTCCAGCAAATGCAGTAAGACAAGAAAAACAAATAGGAAATAAAACTCTTAAGGAAGAGCAAATCATCACAATTTATAATGTGTTTACCTAAAATAGTCCAGGAGGGCTCATTTTAAAACTGTAAAGGTGAAGAATTTCCTCTGATACTGCGACCATAACTAATAGAAAACATAACTGAGAAAAAGGGAAGGATCTCATTCTTTGTAGCAACACCATTGATAAAAGGCGTTGGGATAAACTTAATAAGGTGTAGTTAAGGGATACATGAAGAAAAATATAAACCTTTGCTAAAAGATGTCAGAAAAGGCTTGAATAACTGGAAGGAATACCATGTTCATGGATGGAAAGATTCGATATTGGAAAAAATAGTAATTCTCCCACTGATGTACTTATTTAATGTCATTTTAGCATATTTCAAGGGGCTAGTAGATGGAACTTGATACATTTATTATAAACTTTATCTGAAAGATGAAATACATATGAATATTAAAAATAGAAGTATAATGAACCTATTAAAATATATTTCCATATGCATAGACAACACGCTCTGGAGAACTAGACCACAAACTGTTGCTCATGGTTACCTCTGGAGTGTTACTAGGGTCTTTTGCATTCTACTTTGTTTTATTTCTGAGATGTTTGGATTTTTCAGGAAAAACATATAACATTTTTATAATCAGAAAAAAAAAATAAGGCAAATAGAGGACAAGTGCTCTTGAGACAGATTACACACATTGTATGTTCTCCATTTAGACCCATCTCCAGCCGAGAGTCACCCTTTGTTTTTCAGACCTCAGTTTTCCCGTCTGTAAAATGGGAATGATTTATACCTGACAGGGACATAGTCAAAGCCTATGAATGTTACTGAAGGGAAGCCAACCAGCAGATTCCTGTGGGTGTCTAATTGTGAGGCTGGTACATGATTCGCCCTGGGGCTCTGCTTTGACATTGTCCCTGTAACCCTGACCCACTTGGGCTCTTTCCTGGGTCAGGAGAACTGTGTCACAAGGCATAGTAGGTAGGTCATAGGTGGGAAAAATGATTCCCTGATAAGCTCTTTCACGGATTCATTTGAAAAGCCTGCTCTGTGCTTGGTTCCATACTGGGTATGTCTGAGCTGCCAATTGTTTTCAGGTGACTAGAAATTGTTTTCATTCACTCACTGACTTTTTCATTCTCTGATTTCATATTTTAATTTCTAATTGCTCTTTTTTGTTTTCTAAATGTTTTAGTAATGCCATTCTCTTATTTCATGGATACAGTGCTCATACTTTCAAGATATTGTTGATTAAGACAAGTTTGCCTGACTATTGTCTCCTTTTACCAAATGCGTTTTTTCCCTACCTGTATATTTGTTTTGGCCACAATATTCCATATCAGAGGTTTTTCTCAGATGTCTGGTATTTCTTGGCTGTGCATTCATGTCTAACTAAAAATCCAACTGAAAGGTCTGGTTGATTATGGACTGCACATAGGATGACCAAACTGAGTGTTTTCACTGTTTTCAATGTCAGTGTTGTGAGATGTTTTGTCTTTTACTTTGGTGGAAGAAAACTCTTCTGGGAGTCTTGGCTACCAGAGCTCTAAGTGGAGAAGAGCCTAGAGGTCATATTTAGGGACTGAACTTCCATTTGTTTCCATTTTAAATATGGTACCCATGAGATCACCTGTGCCTGGTGTCATCCTGTACAAAGAACCTCTCTGTCTCCAGAGAACAAATTCTCCAATCTTCATTCATGAAAAGCACTCATTTGGCTGCAGAGAGTGGGGAGGGAAACTAATACTCTGCAGACTCTCTATCAGTAGCTTGGGTTTGGCTCTGCTTTCTCTCTTACTTTCTCTCTTTCTCTG